TACGAACAGTAGACTAGTTTCTTCTCAGTCATTATAAAAATGGCATATATATATTCCGAGAGTCCAGCAAAATGTGACCCAAAATCTTGGAGCACATCTGTAGATTGGCTGCAAAACCTGAATCCAGATGATACTATAATGATCTGTTGAAAACAAGTGTGTCATATACGGACAGAGGAGCACTGTAAATGCTTAAGTGTTTTGTCAGTTTTGCTGAAACCGTAGTAAAACTTAGGGCTGAATTTCACCTACACATTAACTATAAAAAAAACTATATTGAGGTTCAAGACACCTGTTGTCATAGTATTTTCCAAGCTACTGGAGTACATTCCTTTGTATGTAAATGTGCTATTGTTAAAGCAAATTCTGCACAACCAAAACCATCTTTTATATTTTAATCAACTGAAAAAATATGCTTGTTCAATACTTCAAAAGCCATTAATCACTGGAAGCTTGCATATTATTGATAATTATTCAGCTCATGTAATGTAAGATATGGAAGAAATAAATTTTACTAAAATAATAGCAATGCATATCAGCAAGAAATATTGTGTCACTATTAAAAATAATTCTGAAACATGATTAAACTCATTTTTTCTCTAAATAAAAGACATATGACCCATTATTCATGTCAGGCCTTCAAAAATAATTAGTTATTAAGGAAGGCTGCTTTGTTTTGTGCAGGAAAATCAAACTGTTTCGAGAGCAGGTCAAAAAAGGCACATATATGTACAAAATCTGATCTCACTACCCCTTCCAACTCTCATAAAGAAAGATAAACAAGAAAAAGAATAGAAAGCATGAAGGCAGGCAAGAACTTCAGTCATATCTGAAGTTTTCCTGTTACAGAAAGTGTTAGGGTAACAAAAGCTAGGATTTTCCAGAAGGTAGGTTTCCTCCTTTCTTTCCAATATGGAGATCCCTACACACAGCCAACTCATATAAATTTCTTCTAGTATTAAAACACAAACTCCATAGATATTTGTTAACTGATTTACAACCTTTTTTTCCAGAGCTGTGTAATACTGCCAGTTTTGTTTGCACTTATATTAGAAGATCATTCAGCGAATGCACTCAGAAGCACTCAGTTGCAAAGCACTCAAAGCTAGGAAATGCCACGTTAAAGTTGCCAATGCTGCTTTAATTTGGCCCCATCATGCACAAATAATGTTATGAAATTTACTTTCATTTTCCATTTTTTCTCAAAGCACATGCGATTTTTCAGTGCACTGAATACACAGAACTCAGTGAATCAATAACTTCTTAAACTGAAGTATCCGTTGAATTCAACTCAAGATCATGTTTTACACAAAACTTCTGGAGCATGTGCATATAACTGATTAGGCTATCAACCTTCAATGCATCCTATATTGCTGGAGTTGCTCAGACACTACATATAAAGAAAAAAAAATAGAACTAAGCAGTATTATAATTACTTGCTGAGCTTAAGCAATTAAGGGTATTTTTATTATTTGTAATTAAGATAACTTTGCAAGGTCAATAGATAAGCTATTGAAATGAAATGGCATCAGAGAAAGTACTATAGAACTAAACACACTATCAACGTATGGATATAAGCAACCTTGAAGATAATTATCAGGTAAAATTGAGGAAAATCCATCCTTTTTCTATTTATATATGATAGCACTTTAGCATGTATATGTTTCTTTAATGGCTTTGATTCTTGTACTACCCGCTGAGATGAACACATCACTTACATTTTTAAGGAAGGACATGTTCACATTCAGATTTCTCCCAAGACCACGCAACCAAATAATGAAGTAAAGCACAGAAACAGATGAGGAGGAATAGGGGAAAAGGAGGAGGCAACAGGCTGGAAAGGAACACCTCTGCATCTCAGCTTGCTGTCCGATTAGCTGAGGTATCAACAGAAGCCACATCAACCACAAAATTCTTATGAAAAAATAGCAAGGCTTGCTGTTTGGGCCATGTGGTTTCTATCTGAAGCCTACCTTTTTTAAACAGTGAGTTCTTTTTTAAAGGAATTACATTAGTATTTTGCATGGTCTATTATGATGCTTCTTTTCAGGTCACAGCCATATTTCAAAAGCAGTTTAGTTTGTTTTCTGTTTTGTACCCAAGGTACTGCACTAACAAATAGCTGGAGGAGGTGGAAATGGATGGATAAAATAGCAGAACTCTTATTACTTACCTTTTATATGAAATAAATAATCAGTGAGACATTTGCATCTTAATAGAAAATTAAACAGTAGCATTAACCAACATGCAATTAAACCAGAGTGGTAACATATGCAGTTCTATGTTACTGGCTGAGTAAAAATGTGTTGCTGTGGTTCATATCAGAGAAAAATTTGTGCAGCGTAAGTCCACACAAAGACCATTCACTTCATAAATTTTGAGAAGGTAAACAGGGGCTCAGCGAGTCCTGAGAAGTGCTCAACTAACCGCACCAGCTGCTGAACATAATATGGAAAAGAGGACTGCAAAGGGCTACTTGAAAAGGCTCTTCCCTCTTTCAATTTCCCAGGGAATTGAGGGTGCTGAGTCTCTCGGGGAAAAACTGGGCATCTGCAGGATCAGGCACCCGGACGTGCAGTCTTGCAGTGTCTTTCAACAGCGAACCCAGACATGACATAGCTCTCTCAGGAACCAGAAAAGCAAAAGCAACTTAAGACCTCAAAGTTCAAGAGCAATCCAGCTTCCTGGCAAGTTCTCTCTCATAGTGACTACATCTCCAGTTGCTATTTAATAAGCTCTCTACTATTCACTTACCCACAATGAACTAGATAGGAAAATGATAGATGACCTGAGCTCTGATTAAATATCCCGCTTCTCTGGTATTGCCATGATTAATTTACATCACAGTTCAGTGGTTCAGATGCAATTATTAAGTTGGGACTAATGAAATTAGAGTTGCCTAGACAGCTGTGAAACTTCCTAGTTTATACAGAAAATTCTATCAATATATTACAGTTACAAAAGTATTTGAGTCAACTCAGTTAACGTTATGATCAGTGCAAAACTTAGAGTCTGTCATTTCCAGTTACAATTTTAGTTCAGCTCAGCTTCTACTTTGATCTGGACTCGAGGGAAACTGTTTCCTTGTACTACAGGTACAGACAACAGCCGTGGTTCTTCTGCAGAGCTAAGAGCTTCTAGCTGTGCCATACACACTCTTATGTGACTATTAGCAATACTCCCAAAACAGAAAACAGAGAAGATGATGCAAAAGCAAACACTAGACCACTTCAGCTTGGCTGCCAGTCACCCTCCGGAGCTTGCTAATATAAAAACCACAGAGATCACTTTGAAAAATGGAACAAAGAAAGAAGAGAAAACTCTACAGTGGATGGATGAGGGAAATGAAGGTCAACAATCTCGCAAAATAAAGTGTAAAATATGCATAAATTGATTACTTTGTGTATATTTTATACTCAACAGGGAGATGCAATTTTTAAAAAGCCTTTAAATGAACCGTCGCGCTGTCACATGGAGGTGCACTAGCACCTGGCAGGTCTGCATCCAATGGCAGTCCGGGCAGCCTCCCTTTCAGGGTTTACCTTCAGCACACAGTAGTGGCAAATGCAACTCAGAAGATCACTAGCCAAGTGATTAGCCCCCCGGGCATGCAAAGCGCACAGGTCCCAGGCACAACCACCACCTTGCTGCCGTGCACAGCCCTCCTGGCTGCCCGCCAGCACCTGCAGAGCCAGGTCATCATTCCCAGCTGCTCCGTGACTGCTCTGCACAGGTTCCTGGAGGGCTCTCTTGCCCACGCAGAGCTCATGCTGGTTGTTTCACAACACACGGCCACAGGGGAGGTCTGCCCAGCGGCCACGCGCACCGATCCCATCGGCCAAACAGCAGGAGCAGATAGACACAAAGCACAGACCAAGCGTGCAGGGATTAAACAGAAATGTCCAGAATTTCTGAGACATCTAAAGTTCGGTAGGAAGTTGATACAGCTGTTTACTGGGCTTGCAGAAACTTTTGACATCAAGTCTCTTCCATCGCTTCTCAAAGCTCACCCATAGGAAAGAAATGCTGAGCACAACCCTGCCTGCCTGACTGTGCGTGCAGAAAAAAACACCCAAACAAGACACAGTATTGGGACTTGGTAAACAGTGCAGGACGCACAGGCATAGCAAACTTGCATCCTGGAAATCATTTTAGCCCCAAAACAGATCTTCTTGCAGCAACTCAACAGCTCTGACCACAGACATTGTCACAGTTAATTAGCAGTCAAGGTAAAAGCAAGTGAAACAAGGAAAAAAGTTAGAGCTACAGAGTTACAGTGTAGGCACCAGGCTTAGGAACAAAACCAAAAATATAGATTTACCTTCACCCTGTTCCAGTGTCTCAAACTATTCAATGCCTTCCTGCACAGTTCAAGCTGGAAATCTCCAAATCAGCATTTTCCACTGAATTGTCAAAGCTCAGGCACCTCTCATCGGTGCCACCATAGTTCAGCCTCTGTGGCTGTGAGACTCAAGCACATGCATAGCCTGGCCAGCCAGCACTGTGCTGGGGGGGATCATCTGCAGCATCAGGTGACTGTGCAACCTTAGCCCATCACATCACCGGGTTGGCTTATCTGCCAGCTCCATCATCACACAACATGAAAGAGCACATTCAGAAGGGCCACAGGGTTTCATCTTTAGGAAACACTTTGCAAGAGTCTCCAACTCGGTTCATGTCAACAGGAGTCAACGCTTTTTCTACAGCATGCAATAAAAGTTATAACCAGTAGATCTTGCAGAAGGAAAAGTGATGTTTATTAGGGTTTGACCTTCAAAGACAAATATTTCTGTCCTTACTCAGGGAGCATTGTCACTAACATCAGTGGGAACTTGGAGCGCAATGCAGGACAGACCTTCAAACAGGGCAACAATCAGCAGAATGGCATTTCCCAGTGAACATCATCAGTTCCGTAACAGGAAAATCCTCCTTCAAACCCCCTAACAAAGAGAGACAGGCGACTCACAAATAACTTCCAGTCCTCCGCGATTTACTCTTACCTCTGTGATGTTTTCTTGTATTTTCTCCTGCAGGAAAAGAACAAAACACAACTGAGATAAGAAGGCTCTAGTGGTGAGGACAAGAAAATGAGAAGGGCAGAAATCAGGAGTGATTAGGTGAAGTCTAACACATAGTGACTTGTGCCATGAGACCATCACAGATCTGACACTGCCAGTCCCTACTGCTAAACTTAGTGATTGCTAGTACTGCCTTGAGCAGGAAAAAGAATACGTTTGCCCGTGTGCACCTTAAGAAACTGTATATTTTACCTTTTTCATATAACACAGGGTAGATGGTTAAAAAAGGATAAGCTAATACTCTTAAAGACTTTTTCCAGGAAGGCAGGAACCTGCTTCTAGAGCTGAGATGTAGGGCTTTATGTCCCCTAAGCCTAACATTCATAGATGGTTCACATTTTTCAGTTACATGGGTAAAATCACTGGAACATGTGTGCTGCTAAAAACTTATGCTTTTTTATCTCTTATGCTACTGCATATGGAAAATTGTGGCTAAGTCAGATAGATCCAAAACATCCAGAGGAGCAGTCTTGCCTGACACCAAGAGATAAAAATAAGAAAAAAAAAAATGGCCAAGAGGACTGAAAGGGCAAGTTTGTTCTTAATATGAAGCCTGAATAACATATCCTGGCAGTCAATACTTAATCCAATATTACATTTATAAATTGTCCTCGTGTTTGAACCAGTTTCTGCATACAAACCATCTGAGAATCGTAAAAAGATACTAACTTTAAAAAGAGCCAAAAAATTTTCATTGACATCTTATTGTGTCAAGAATTGCTTATTTAAACTTGGGCAACCGCAGCTGAGTAAAACAGCAGCCCTCATAGTGGCATCAAGATTTCAGCTTACTGACATTCCTGATGCTGACAAATACAAATGGAAGCCCACATGGACATACCCAATTCTTAGGGAATTTTTCAGTTCAGTAACAAAAGAGTGAAGAGTAGAAATTTACAGAGAATTAAACTTGAAAGTTCGGGCAAAAAAAGAGAAAATTCATAGGTTTTCTTGCAAATAGAAAAAAAGGTGGGGGAAGGGGGAGAGGAAAAAAAAAAAAAAAGAAAAACGATCAAAAAAAAAAAAAAACTTACTACCGCCTCACCTTAATCCACATTGACAAAAGATATTTTATGGACAAGAAATCAAAGTTTTTTGCATTAAAAATTTTATTTTTTCTATTATATATAAATGTAGCATGACTGTTTAAAAATCAGATGAACTTATTAGGAGTTAGTTTCCCCGCCCCCCCCAAAAAAAGGGGTTGAGAGTTTTAATAGTTAGAACAATTTTTCTTTACTGGTCAAAGAAGAAATTTCAGTAACTTCCATATGATTTTGAGAAGTGTTTCCTTTTCAACAAAGCTTCGCATTCCAGTAAAAATATATTTCATAAACTTCTGATCAGCTCAATTTTTATTAAATATTCTGAAGAAGTGATCCAGCCTTAGGCAACGCTTGCACTTTAGTAATAACATCACTTTTTTTGAGCACTTACACCTTTAACACTCTTTAATCAAGAATATTTTACTGCCTTAGAAAGCAGAATTACCACACATGACAGTAGCAGGAAAGGACACTTGCCTCACCATAGGAGTTTTAAGAAAAATATATACATTTTATTATTGCTGTTTAACATTGTTTCCACACCTGCATTCCAATTACAGTGAATAATATGTATACAAAGTTAGCAATTGTGCCTGTATCCATCAAATTCGTATATCATAGCTGAAGAAGCATGTTTATAGACTCAATATCATGCTTCATATATAAGCTCAAAAAAAAAAAATCTAGCAGCTGCATCCATACTGCCTTTTAATGCTAGCAAGGAATTTACTGATTTCCTGTACTTGCAGCAATTTAAAAGCAAAGTCTGACAACACTACTCACCAATACTGCAAAAAGGTGTTGCTAACACAAAGCTCTTTTCAAGCCTAGGCTTTAATTTGCTTTCAGGGAAGCAAACGGGGACATCTACCTGTTTTAAGCCTGAACACCAACAGCTGCACCTGCCTCCAATTGAATGAGATTGTTGCAAACAGGGACACTGGAAGCTGCCTCTTTTAAAGTCCTGACCAAAAGTAATGCTTGGCTATAGTCAGAAGTGTTACGTGAGTTGACAAGAGGATGTGGGTTTGTAGCAAACAGATGGGGTTAGTAAATAACAGTTCTCTGTGCAGTTATTTTATTTTCCTAAGATTTTGTGGAGAGATTTTTTGGAAAAGGTGGAGGGCAAGCTATCCTGGTTTTCCTGCCCCAAGAGAAGTCTGTGGAGGGAGGATGGATTGCTAAATTGGTTTTAGTCCAGGAATAAGCCTAAAAGCAGGCAGTTCTCTTGGTTAAGCTCAAGGAAATATTCTTTTCTAACAACAATACCAAGCTGGTAGAGGGAAGGAATGATAGCAAGTCAATGAGGGTAGTGTTACACTTCTCCTTCTTACGGGCTTCCCTTGCTGAGGTCTGCAAGAGGCTTATGGATACTGCCAGATCTGCGTAAGTAAAGGCAATTTCTTCCCCTGCAGTACACATGTCATGTGGGAACTAGCATCCATTCAACTTGTGCTACCTGTTACGAAGTGTATTACTCATTGGACTACATTTAACTTCCATTAAAAATAAATTAGAAGCTAGGCTTTTTTTTCATGCTGAATAGAATTAACAGGTGAGTCACACTAGGTAGGCCCCATTATTGCTAGTGTAAACTAGAAATAACTCCACTGAAGTCCATGCAATTACACCCACACCAGTGTAGTATGAAGTCAGAATTGGTTGCAGTAAATGATGGCTGATTTGGAGCCCAATGAAAATAACCCTAGTAAATGCTTTTAAAGTGTATAGTTAGTAATAAGGAAAGACAAAGTTGTAAGACATCACTTCTGAATCAAATGGGACAACATCAATAAGATAGTTAAGCTGTCTATTCCTGCCAAAAATTAGGATCTATACCAACAAGGTGTAGCTAACTAAACTCAGATGAGCGCCCAACTCCCACGGAAATAAACAGACATGTGGAATCTCTTACTGCATTTTGATGCCTTGCAGTTCATTTAAGAGCCAAGTATCTCTTCCCACTTACCTCTAAGATTAAATTCTGAAGTGTCATTACAAAAATCGCTTTTTTTTCCTAGCATTTCCCCTTTGAACCACTTTTCAGACAGTTAGTTCCTTAGGGTTTTATCTAAATGTGGTTTTGTACATAAATTCGTCACAATGGGGCATAACTGGAACCCAAGTAACACTAGTTCTACCTTGTACCAAAAAACTCATGTACTTTTAGTGTATCTAGAAGCGTGAGGATGAGAATTTGTTAGAAACCCCAAAGAGTGTGCTTGAATCCTGAAACTATCTTTTCAGGCATTACTCCACTGAGAGAAGGTGAGTGAATCAAAGTGACTGAGTAGGTATGGAAAGGAGTGAGGGTGGAAGAGTTGGGAGAATTAAGCAACTCTGCCAACTCTTCTGTTTTTGCTCTATAATTGCACAACTCAGAATATCAACTAGCTAAATGAATTGCTCTTTCACTCCTACACAGCCTCCAAAGAATTATCTAAACCACTTAAAGTTTTTCCTCAGATTAGTGACTTGGTTAAAACGGTGTTATTCCATATTTATTCCCCAGGGCTTCACATTAATGACATCTCCTTAGTGTAGAGTAAAACTGTGGGTGCTGACAAAGTCATAGTAGACTTCTTGCCTAATTTAATCCTGGGAAATTTACAGTGAAATCTGAGTTATGAAATCTGTGTTATGATCTGCTTACACCTCTCTACTAGAGACTAATGGGCATTACCTGTCCTCATCCATACTTTACAGTGAGACAGAGCAGCATTTGATCACTGACTCACAGACCGCTGCTTGGAAGTTGAGGTAGATGCAGGCCAAGTGCAGGTGACCCTTTTTGGTGAGTTAGTATTCCTTACTGGAGAAGCATCGAGTGGCCAGAGGCATGCCCTTAGCTTGTTGCAGTGGCCAAGAGCTCAAGCCATTTTCTGGCTGAAGGTCAGATTCAGCACTCAGTGGTTTAAGTGAGCCCGCTTTGTTTGGCTTGGCCACTCTAATCGGTTCGGAGGGCTCACACGGTTAATGCAGCTCAGCCAGCCAGGTAAAGTGCTGGAAACTCAGTGGCCCAGGATCTTCAGTGTGTACCATGGACAAGCCTCAATGTAATGCAGTGGCTGGCATCCCAGCAGCTCTACGCTTAGGAAAAGAAGGCAAAAGCAGTTCCGGGCACTGAGAGGCAAGCTAAAGCAAACACGCTATGGCAATTTAAGAAGATATTGCCCCTGGCTGTCTTGTGCACAGACCCTGCCATTGGCCAGCACCCTTGCAGCCCAACTGAGTGGTGCGTGTGTGTCCCTAAGCACTTGCCACTCCAGTGCAAAGGTCAGAGTTTGGACATAAACTGCCAGCGACGGTGGCTTTCGGCACAGTGTTGCACTGCTGCAGCTGTGCATGCTCTTTATTGCCCACAAAAGGAGTTACAGGGGTGTTAACTTCTCCAAAGGGTGCAGGGAGCCTCACTAGAGCTTGCTGCCAGGACCCTGATTTTCATCACTGACATCTGCAGAGCTGATAGGGAGCTGGTGGCAAGCAGAGAAAGGAAAGCTGTTTGTGCAGCAGCATTTTACAAAGCTACTTCTTCAGGGGAAGCACAAACTTTCAGGAAAATGAAATTGCGCACGCAAAAAATTACAAGGAATTAATCTCCCTCTGAGGAGGAGGAACTTGTCCTCTTCTATATTTAGAAGCTTTATATTTAGCATGTTCAAGACACGAGTGGGAGTTTGATGCTTACTTTGTCAATGGAGTGGCTGCATTAACAAAAGCACCCAACAAAAAGCACCCTGTGAGCATCCCATCATGTTTTTAGCTTGGGCAAGCCAGGCACAGAGACAAAGCAAAATGACCATGTTGGTCATTCACCGCATAACACAAAAATTCTGACAGTCTTTTTCTTTTTCCTTTTCCTGACAGAGCTAGACTTTGCAGATTAGAGTATGTGTTATGATA